CAGGAGAAGGACAACACCAGAAACCTTCAGGAGTTACAGCTACTGGAACATTCCTAATCTTCGTTTGCCTTTGTTCTACTTTTGCAATCTTGATCTCCGCCATTGTTAAACACACAGAGATAGACACACAAAAGCTTAAAGCTTTCACCTTTCACACACCATTAAAGAGACACAAACCTAAACAGAGAGAAGAAAGAACAAGTCAATTTGGGGAAAAAAAACCCTAGAAATCTGAAATCTGTAAGTTCTTGAATATGTAAAGATTTTAATCAAAAACAGCTGTGTGTAGAATGAATGATTGGAGATGTAATAATGGTGTTTAAAGAATCAAAGTTTTTAACAATAATGTGATTATCAAAAAAAAAAAAAGAGATTTTTGAAAAGAAGAGTAAAGCCAAAACAAAAAAGAACAAAGAAATGAAGAGAAAGAGATGCATCAAATGGCTTTGTCTCTCTACGATTCCTTTATCTTCACTTTACCTTTGTCTCCTCTCTCTCTCTCTCTCTCTCTTCGCATGATTTTGATGATTACATGTAAATATGTAATTTGTGGGCCTTTGTTGGACAAAAATATTCTTCTCTCTAAAAACATTACTTTATTTCTCAGTGACCACTGACCAGACAGCCACGCCATCTCCATCTCTCTCTCTATCTCATCGTCTAATGTTTTGAAAATTTTAATTATGATTAAATGAGAGACTAATCAGAGTTTTGAAATGTTAAAGTTGTTGTGTGTTTGTTTATGTTCATGTGGGGACAGTTTCTCTTTCTTTTGTGAGTCTTGAGGAGATTCTTGATTAATGCTTATAAAACAAACCATCACTTTCTTGAAGATTTGTGTTACATAAGTAATGCACATGATATGCATTTAATTTGGATTAAAATTTGGTAATGAGGAGATTAATACGGGAGATCATTAATTAATGGAACATATAGCTTATAGCTGTTTTTTCTTCTACAAAGGCTATAGGTTAAAATCTCATATCTTTTAACTGAAGAATATAAAATATTCCATAATTGGTATTAGTGGTACAAATTTTTATTATTTAGATTGTGAGCTCCATAAATTTAGGGGGTTGGTTGGGTAGTTAATAGTTATACTATAGTTTATTCTCATACTATGATGTAGACTAACTTTTATGGTTGAACAAAAACTACGTACTGACTACCGAGAGTTGGATATAATTACATTTCATAATTATATGTTGAAACAAATGGAAAATATATGACAAAGAAGATTTGATGGCATTTGCTGGAAGGAAGCTATACCCACGAAATTAATAAATAATTTCCCACGACATGAACATAATATGGTGAAGCCAGTCGAAGCTAAGCTAAATAAACCAGGAAATGTTTCTATATAGTTTTTTTTTTCATAATATTCGTGGTTTTTGTTTTTTCTCTCGAAAAATTCCAAGACCTGCAAGGCTATTTTTATTTAATGCGCTATCAGTTTCTAGGATCAAAAAAGTGACCGGTAACCAATTCTATCCCCAAGCTCGAAAGCGAAGCACGTTTTGGATTTTTTGCTCAATCATATTGCCCTACTACTTAATTACATACTGTATATATCTAATTATTTAACATAACTATAACTGTTTTGTATCTTTAAAATACACAAGAACATACAAGCTTGAAAACAAATTAGACAATACTAAAAAAGATTCACATGAAAATTTTTTTTTTTTTTTTTTTTTTTTTTTTTTTTTTTTTTCACATGAAAAAAAAAAAAAAAAAAAAAAAAAAAAAAAAGATTAATTTACATGAAAAAAATTAATATATACATGAATCAAATCTTGCTTAAGCCAAAACATAAAAAGATTTAGCATGAAAAAAAAACATACAACCACATGGTGGTGGGCGAGTGGTTCTCGTTTGGTTGGAAGGATCGCCCTGTTGGTCTAGGCCAGGGATCGATCCTCCCCAGAAGCAGTTTCGCTCTCTCACTCCTATGGCCACCTGGGAATTTACATGCGGACTTGCTCAGGCGCCCCAGACCACCAGTTTATCAGGGGGCCCTTAAGTGGAGGCTTAAAAATCCCTGTGTCGTGGGCTTAGGCCCAGTGGGCTAGTCAGATCACTATGTGGTCTGGATACTGGGTTATCAAAAAAAAAAAAAAAAAAACATACTCCACATATTTCTAGTATTTGGTTAACACTGTTAGTTTGATAATGTCAAAAATCAATAAGATCAAGTTCGATTCTAGTCCATAAAGCTCTATAACTAAGTGGTGTGTGTTTGTTATAACGCGATACACATTCGTAAGCTAGGTCTAGAAGAAACATAGAAACAAATTGAAAACCCAACAGCATTGACACAAAAGAGAAGGGAGAATTTGAAGAAACATAGAAGAAGACACAAATTGAAACAAAGAGAAGGGAGAAGGAGGGCACGATTCAATTCTCGGCAGAATTACAAGAAGAACACCATGCGTGATCTTGAAGATATTCAAAGCTTTTTGGAGGAGATTTTAAGCAGCTGAAGTCGAGGAAACTAATCTGTCATGTGTTGTCTCTTCCATACAGGATGAAGAACTCGAAGCTATAACCCTTTGATGAAGTCTCAAAAAATTCCCTGCATGATTCCCTGATTTAGAAATGTACATAATGTGAATTCGTTGTGGTAAGTGGAAACATATGGTATGGGTGGTCATGAATGTAACTAAGGATCACTTATTTTAGACATGAAAAATTATTAGGAACTTTAAGATAGTATCATCCATATTGGGAAATGCAAGAAGTCTTCGTATATAGTATGATCCTTTACATGTTTGTTATTCTTGTTCACAGCAACAATGTACAAGTGAAAAATGGAGACAGTTTTAGACTTGAATCTGATGAGCATCGTCAAAAGATCTCTCCCCGTTAATGGTTTCACGATTCTCTACATATTGCAGAAACTCCATAACCACTTGGTCGGTCCAAGGAGCTCCGTTCGGAGCTTCTTCACCTGCCACCCATCCCAAGTGCCCTCCTCTTGGTGTCACAATCAACACGCAGTTTGGGTTTGCCTGACAATTTAAGTTATAAGATAGACCCAAAATCATAGCATTTTCGAGTAAAATGAATGATCATTCAACTCTTACCTTGATGTCATCGCGAGGGATACCTCTATCAGGAGCAATCGGATCATTAGCTGCCTGCATTTCATATCATATAAACAAATGAACATGTGAAGAAAAATCAGATTCTACACTTATAGGTTCAGGATTTCACCTGAATGCAAAGCAAGGGTATACGGACATGTTTTATATGTTTGGAGCTGCTCGACTTGGAATAGTACTCATCCACTGATTTGAAACCGAACGAGACTGTTACATGAAAAAAAGAAAACAAATTATTTGTAGCTGTATGCCCTCATCTTGTCAAAGTATCAAGGAAAAGATATAAGGGGATGCAGACGAAACTAACCCCGGGTTAAGCCATCGTCGAAATCCCTAACCGTCTCAGCATTTGCAGCCAAAGGAATGTTAAATTCACCTCCTATGTCTTCGAAAAGAAGAGAATGTCTGCATAAAGATGAATTAATAACGTGACAATAACTAACAGGCAAGAAGAATAGACGAACAATTACTTGCTAAATATTCGACGAAGAGATTTCGACAAGGCCTTGTCATAAACATTGTTAAAACCCTTGTGGAAATCTTCATCTGCTATAACCAAATCAAAAGGATTGCACAAAGAAACAGCAGCAGTGAGAGGACAGTTATGAGATTCCTGCAACAAAACTAAAAAAGATAAGAACTTAATTACATAACCAACATAGATTTCTAAACTCATGGGTTAAAACTAACTAACCAACCTGACCCAAATAGTTAACAAGAATGTTGCCTCCAAGTGACCATCCTGCTGCATACAAATTAGCTTTTGGGAATTTCTCACCAACATGATCAATCACTTCACCAATATCTCCTAAAAACGAAGCCGAGTAGAACTGCATTATCAGTATCATAATACTTCAGCCTACCAACTTCCCAATACTAACAAAATGAAGCTAATTGAGACTATTCATAATTCATTACCAGACCATGAAACATTACAAAAAGGATGCAACTTTATGAATCTAAGAACCAAGAAAGAGCAAAGATCAAAACCTGAGGAGTGGTCACAGGACTATCTCCACATCCTCGGCTATTAAACACAACACAACGCCATTTTTTACTTTGAGCTCTTAACAACATATGTCTAACATACGAATCTTGACTTCCTCCTGTTAAACCTGGCTACACATTATAAAAAAAGTTTCGATTTTTTTCACTCAATTCAACACCTTTAGTAATCAAAATCGATTTTTGAAATGTTGAGAGTGTTACCAACAAAATGAGGATTGGAGATTCAGGAGGAAGGTAACTATCGTCGCCGGCGACCCAATCTAAAGCAACAGAGCCGTTGTCTTTAGTACGGAGACACTCACGGCGGAGTCTAACGGAAGGAACAGAGCGGTAGAAAGCTGCGTAGATTGTCTCCACGTGGCGGTTAAATCCGATTAGAGGAAACGCATTGTACGGCTTAGCGAGTGAGTCTTTTAACGCCGGTAAGAAACGATCGCTTCCTCCGCCGATAACTTCGAGAGAGCTGTGGTGAGAGGGACGAGACATTTCTGGGAGTTTTGGATTTGCGGCGGCGAAAGCTGAGAAATGACGGCGGAGTGTACGAACTGATGAGATTAACGGCGGCGATGACGTGGCAAAGGCGACTCTCGCCATTTGCTTCACCACGTCGTCGTTTTGGTAACCACAACGAATTTGCCTAACTGAAAAAAACAAAGCACCATTTCTGTGGTCGGGAAATTTAAACTAATTTGCAACTAAACCCCTTTAGTAATTTTATTATTACAAAAATCAACCTTTACTACAAAGATTGTATTTTCAATCATGGCCCATAATAAATTGGGCCTTGGGCTTCTACTTCCACTTTTTTTGCAATTGTGAACGCTGTCGTTTCATATAACCATTACGCGGTGTTGACCAAGAAAAGCCAGAGACGCCAGAGAGGCTTTGATGATATTTACCCCTAAATGCAATTTATTAGTAGCTTTTGTACACTTCATCCACGTGAAAGTCTCTCAATTTGGTCATTTCTATGTATACTTGCATTAAATAACGAAATCAACTTTATATCTTTTTAAGGTAAAAAGAAAGAAAAAGGTGAAGCTTTCTAATTACAATTTACACATTGACTAACCAATTTAACCCCTCTACTCAGCTATTGAACTCAACTCCGCCGTAAACTTTCTCCTCCCTTTACCACCACCACCACCACCACAACCTCTTCCGCCGCAACCATTTCTTTTAACTCTTTTAACTCTACACTCACCTACATCTTCATCGTTGTAACTCAAACCGCCTCCACCGCTTTTCGCAAGCGCAGAGCTTGCTTTAACCGCTAAAGCTGCCATTTCATCTGCTCTTAATGGATGGTTGAGCCATGTCAACGGTAAAACAAAGTATAATTCTCCTGGCCGGAGATCTTCGCTGCCAGCAACAGCTAAAACGGCGTCGTCGAAATCCATATCATCGGAGTTACAAACAAAGCTCGTAGGATTCTTTTGAAGAATCTGCCACACTTTCACCGGCGTTGAAAACTCTTGTAACGTTCCGTCTGGTAATATCAGCTTCGCCGTCTCCGTTCTCCGAGATTCACGTGAACCGCAAGCTCCCATTGTTTTAGTACTTCTTTGTACGTACGTAACTCTGTGTTGCCTTTGAAACGTAACTCGTTGAGTTGACTCGTGACTTTTAGAAAGTTTGTAGATAGAGAGAAGATCTCGTCTGTGTTTTTGAAAGAGATACAAACTCCTCGTGTGGCTTTATATATTTAGAGAAGAAAGAAGAAGAAGAATAAGTGAGCCTCGTGATTCGGAAACTTCAAGTAACGTTAGGTTTTTGTCGTGTAGTGTTCATAATCAGACAGGACCACAGCTCACGTAATATAATTGTCTAAATGAAATTACAAAACATACCCTCTTCTGTATACTTTAGATACGTTAAGGAAGGAGTAATTTAAAGGAAATGTAAGGGGTAGATTGGTAAAACTGGAGATGAAAACGTGGCCAAGAAGGATAGAAGAAAGGAGCAAAGTGTCCACGTGGCAAACATAAGAGACTTGGGACAAAATCAGAAAGCAGACAAGCTTAGGTGGCCGGAGGTTTAATTTCCGGCGGATGGGGTGCATGAAACTTGGCTTATGGAGCCTCACGTGAAGGCCAATAGAGAGTAGCATGGGTAGGGACCAAACCGGGTCGGATGGTCCCATTTAGATTCATTCGGTTGCATGGGTCACTGGTCACCTAACGAGAGATTCGGGTCTTTAAGTCTATATACGTGCATCATTCATTAGTTTAGTTTAGTTTAATTTTGGTATGAACGTGTGCATCAATAATGTGAATTCAACTAGTTTAGCAAAAAAAATAATGTGAATTCAACTCGAATTATTGTCTATCGATATGGTATTACGGTCCATCAACGCTGTATCGAATTTTTTTTTTTGGTTACATTTTAAATATTTTAAGTAGGATTGATTTGTTGAAGAATATCGCTTTCCGTTGAACTTTATTTTTTAAAGAATCGTTTGGTAGTATCTTAAGTCGGATACTTGTGTAACACAACCAAACCAATATATCAAATCATAAGCTTCAATTATATGAAGTTATGAACCTCTATTATTCCCTACCACTTTATACATTTTTCCCAAAAAGAAACCTATTTTAGTTAAACTAACATTATTGTAACAATTAAATTAGATATAGTATATTATGCTTTTCATATATTTTGTTTGTGATTAGGATCACCCACGTTTCAGCCGAACTTTATTTTTTGTTTGTGCGTATGATAATTGAAGACAATAAAAGTGATTTTGTCCGATTTCTGCTGTCCTTTAGATATGATCAGAAAGAACCAGTCCCAATTCATGAATACAGTACAATAATGTGTTTTGTACTATTATTTAATGGAACAGAATTTGGCTGACCACTAATTACTAATATGGCGTTAATTAATCAAGTATCATGAGTCATGACCCTATTTTTAATCAAAATTGACGTTTATAAATATAGACCACGTACGATGGTTAGATCTCTGGAGAGTTAACAATACCAACGCTTATAATAAAAAGGTCGGGCGGATTTTTCAATAACAAATTCGCGGATAGGATCATCTAGGAGAAAGTTTGTAAGGAGAAGTCTCCATAAACAAACTGATGGAAAGGGTTGCTCTCGGAGTAGGTTGGCAAGAAGGAGCAATTCCCAAAGCAGCTAGAGGATCCTTATTAGAGAGCATATTGACGAGATGATTTTCCAAAAGTAAAATGAAAAAGAAAATCCTTAATAAAGAGCATGTTAGCGGAGAGAACCTCCCAAGACCTTTTTTTTTAATAGTATCTTTTTAATTAGTATCCAAAGTCGAATATTTGTGTATTATTTTTGTAACCAGACACAACATTTAAATTTTCATAGGTTTCAACTCTCAACTCAAAAATAATGAATAAATTGACAGATTTTTTTTATATGTTTCAGATTTTCTTATTTACATACTAAATTTTAACATGTCTTTTTCGGTATCTTTTCGCACTAAATCTCAATCCACGATAAACCCTTCAGCTTTTTCTTGTCTATATGGTTTTTAAATGTTGTTGATTTTGATTTTCAAACATGTGGTCATTTTGAGGTTAACTAAACATGCGATATTGGATAATAACAATAAAATATAAAGTCTTCAGAAAAAGACTAAGGAGATCTTCAGTGTCAATCATACACACGCGTAAAAAACCTACAGAGTACTGACTATGATCTCTTGATATATACTTGATGATCAGTGAATGCTAAGATTTGCAGTAACTTGAAATAAAGTGGATAGTATAAAAACTTTATTCAAATCACTGTCATTATTGATATGAGATGTTAATTAATTGAGTGTTTAAGAGGCGATATTCTATTTGCATTCTAGAGTGTTATGTGCTGTCCCACGCCAATAGAATTGGATCTTTTTGGTTCAAGCCTAGCCTGTAGAATTGTTTATGTTATTACATGTTTCAATTCTTAAAGAACAAACATAGGCGAACATTAATTTAACTACTCAGTCGCATGGACAGTTAATATAATAGAAGAAAATTTTGGAAAAATAAAAAACACGATAATTACAATTATTTCCACGTGAAACCGCATTAAACTAATTCTACTTGTCGCGTTAACCAATTTTAAATTACAGGGTGATGAAACTTGTTTAGTCGTGATCATATATTGATCATCCAAAGGAAATTTATCCGACAATGGAAACCTAAATTTGTCAATTTTCGAGTTTAAACAATTTAAACATGTGTTGTCCAAAAAAAAAAAAAAAAAAAAAAAACAATTTAAACATGTTTTGCCCCAAAAAAAAAAAAGAAAAACGATTCAAACATGCATGTATATAATTTGTTTAAGACTCAATTCATAAAAATTAAATCATCTATTAAACCTAAAAAAAAGGCAACACATGTCTAAAATCTCACTTATTATAAACCCCCCAAAAAATCATATATAAAAAAATCGTTTCGGAATTAAAACCCTAGAAGAATGGAGCTCTATGTGGACTCCCTTTTCTCCTATGTCGTTTCTTCTTCACCAGTTCATCAGTCTCTTCTGAATTCTCTGTAATCTCTGAATTCTCCATCAGCTCATCAAGTTGTGACCCAAGAACGCTCCTAAACTGTCAAATTTACAATAAACAATAATGTTAAACTTTACATAAAACAAAACTTTATATATGGACTCAAATTGTAAGGAGTAGCTAAAATCAGAATTAACCACAAATAATATACCTTGCATTCCATTGAACAGAACAAAGCAGAAGAAGCAGCATCAAGTTCCCATTCACAAACTTGACATTTATGCATAACATTGTTTCTAAAACGATGATTATCATTGCCACGTCTCTGGTTTATATAAACAATCGGAAACCCGTTGATCGAATATATATGTATCCCTGATATATCCATATATTTTGACATCGTCTCTTTCTTTACTCCTGTCTGGTACGAACTTCTATATGTCTGCAATTACATCAAAACCCATTAAACCATAGTTAGATATTGTTTTCAACGAATGTTTGAACTTATATAATAAAGCAAGTTTTTGAAACAGTTAAAGAAAAACTGTTTACTTGAATCAAAGTGTGGCCTTTGTGATCGTTCTTTTTGTAGCAAGTTGTGCAAAAAGGAGGAATCATACAATCGCAACAGAAGTAACATCGCCTTTTTTTTTGCGTGTCGTGTTGATCGCAAATTTCATGGAAAAGCTTCGACTTCACCATCTCAATAATCCATGGATACCTTCTAATGCAGCTAAGAACGTCAACGGTTTGTTGCATACTTTCTAACATTATAGAATCGATGTGTGTAAGCAACTTGTGACTTTTTTTGTAATGGTCTCTTCTTCAAGTTTTCAACTTTTATAGAGCAAACAGAGTTTCCGAAAAACTAGTTAGCAAATATTTCCTTTTCTCTTCTCTTTTCCAAAACCGAAAAGGACAACTTAGGTTTTTGTTGAGCTTCGTACTTTAAATCTGAAATTGGTGAGATTTATTGGGCCTATTAAGATTGGAGAAAGTCTCGGCCCATTAAGGTTTTCAAAAGGAACTGCCACCTAAAACGTCGTCGTTTCCTTGTAACTAAATATACAAACAGAGGGCAAAAACAGAGAATTCATCATTCAAATGCAGTTGCAATGTAATAGCTTGGAAGAAAAAAACCCATTTTGTTGTAAAGTGTGTGTATATAAAAGTGGTAAATTTATTTGATATTAACAAGACATGTCTCTAGAATTGTATATAAAATGTACATTCATGTCCTATGATTATGATTCCTATCTATGACTATAAGAAGATATTATAAGTCTGTTAATGTCAATAGTATAAAGAAGGTAAACTCCAAAAATTGAAAAGAGCTGAAGCAAGTAACAGAAACCAACACAAGAAAGCCAATGCAGCCGAGACTTGGTATTGGATACAGAGGTTACCATCACAGATTTTTCCATCGGCAGACGCAAGCAATTCGGTTGCACTAGCTACAGCACAAGCACCACCCAAAGAAAGAAATGAAAGTACCTGTTATACAATAAACAGATCACAATAAGAAGAATGCACAATCTTTTTTCGCGTTTACGAAGATTAGGTAAACACTCTTTTTGCATTTGCTTACGAAATCACCGGCGAAAACGATGGAAAGAACTCTTAATTCTTGAGGAAGGAGTTTCACTAAGACAGAGTATGTGTCTGTCAAGGCAAGTAAAATGCTCCATGGAGTTACAATTGCCATCACAGTCGCTAAATAGCTAAACAACAGATACACACAGAGATCAAAATCAGTCCTTATGATATGAATCAGTTATCATGAAACCAAAACAACTACTAACTAAACAAAACCCTATCCTCAAGAGTGACTTTTGATTACAAACAAAAACATTGACTTGATCAAAACCCTATTCTCAAAACGTTTGATTCATCAAAACCCTATCCTCATATTTGATCAAAATTCAAAATTTTCAACAAATTAGGTATTGATTTACCAAACCCATATCAAAATTTCACTCCTTTCGATGATCAGATTCATCAAGTCGAATTCAGAATTCCAAGAACCCTGAACCCAAAAATCAAAATCGAATAAGAATTTCAGAGGAATTATACCAGAAGGTAGTGAAATCATAGAAATCGTAATCAAAACACATGAAGATCAACGAAGCAGCTGAGAAAATGGTTTGGCCAAAACGGAGAGCGAAGCTGGCGCTAGTGCCGAACGATCCCGGCACATTCTCCATCCGATTTCAAACCTAATTCTCTTCATCATCCAAAAGCAAAATTCAACTCATTTTCTCGGGAAAAATATTTCTGAGAAAGAAAAAGAACAAAAAGCGAGCCAAAGGGTCTTACCTGTAACGCCAAATGGACTTGTGTGTTTCCTCTTTATTCTCTTTTGCTCTGTTTTACAAAATAAATTACTTCATAAACTAAATAATAATACCCTCAAATTTTCTTTTAAGTCTTCTTTCTATTAAATTAAATTAGTTTACCTTTTAAAAGATTTGAATATTAATGAGAATCTATTGCCAGTCAAAAGACTTTTTGCAACTTTAAGAAATTAGTTTATGATACCAAATTATCTAGGATTTTGTTTTAATGTTTAGCCAGCACTAGGTTTTGTTATGTATTTGGATTTTGGAAATAGATAAATAGTATAAAAAATTTGTGATTATTTTCTCAAAAAGTTATATGTTTTCCTCATAATAATACAAAATGCAATTATTATCAAGCAACAGATGGAAACAAACTGGCTGTTTTAGTTGTTGACTCTAATTATATAATTGGTATTTAGTCTCATGATGACTATTATTTTTATTTTTTTTTTATTTTTTGTGTATACTACTACTAACTGCTAAATTTGTAATACTATTCTATTTTCAGTTGTGTACAATTTTTAAAATTTTAAACTAGTTGAATTTTTATGTACCTAAATTGACACTCTATGTGCTGGTTCCAATCAACAAAGGTAGTCCGACCACAAAATAATGAAACTTAAGTCAACTTTGTAATTATTATAAGAAGAAAAGGCTAAACAAATACATTATACTAAAAACATACCATCACACACCCAACTCGAATTCACCTAAATCCTATAATCATATCATTTAAATAGAGGAAAATAACTTTTATAGTAAGTACTAATATATTCCTATTTGCATGATAAATCACAACTTGTAACCAATACCGTATTGGCAATACGTAACTCAATCTTCGTCCTCTCGTTCCCACCTCCAATTCATGTTCCATTTGTTACGGTTCATTAAACTTGCGTGTATGTAATTAAAGAATCATATCTATATATATAATGGGAGAGTTCTCTCTCCATATAAGGTGTCCACATCAGCATCCACATCATCATAACTTATTTATGGAACACACATAACTTATCTATTAAAATTAAAGAATATGAAAACTAAATTTAATTCCATTTTTATATTATTATTTTTCATGAAAGAAAGACATCAATTTCAAAAAATAAATCAAAGTATAAAAAATGAAATGATAAAAATACAACACAAAAAAATAGAGAAAATAAATGTCAATAGAAAGTGAATAAACATAAAAATTTAGATAGTTCGATCTTTAAATTAGATAGCAAATATAATAGTAATGCTAGATTGTAGAGATTTTAATTAGAAATAAGGAAAAATTGTTAATTTACACATATTTTAAATTTAGAATAAGTTACACATTTTAGGAAAATAAATATATAGAGTACTATTTAGAATTATGATATACGTAAAATTATATGTCCGAAGAGCTAAAGTGTAAAGTTTGATGTTGAAATTCGATGTCTTTGAATATGAACAAGTCCATATATGAGATTTTTAATCTAGGAAGCAAATTTTACATACATCATAACACGATAAAAGATATATACGACAAAGTGGATATATCCACAAGATTTTATGACGTTCACTTCATCAAGAACCTCATGCAACTCATCAAAAAAAAAAACTGAGTATTGCAAGATATGAAGGAGGAAATATTTATAATTTGCCTTGATAATAAATTCACATATCAATATATTATATGTGAGCCAATATCAAGTGAAAAGAGAGTAGACTGTTGGAAGCGAGCGCATCGTGGAAGAGGACAGAAGAAATGGTAATGAAAAAGTGTTTTAAAAAAACTATTTAATCTTAGAAAGATAATGCACACGACTAAAGATGTAAAAAAATGAGTTCTAAAAATATACATGACATAGATTAGTGGACGAATTATCGGATTCATCGCCGGACTTCTCTACAATATACTATGTATTGAATTGTTACTTTGCCAATAAAATATTATTGTCGCTAATATTTCTGTTGTATATAACTTACAATAAGTTTAGTTTTTAAAATTTGAATGATTATATTTATATTCAACAATTTACAATGATAAAATATTTTTAACTAAAAATCCCGCGCATTGCGCGGGGCACAAAATCTAGTATATATAATTAGACAGTTTTCTCTCATCTTATAAAATCCACCTAAACAAAACAATTTTTCTTTTAAACATTAAAACTCAAAAGGCTCATTTTAATCAATACATATTTATATCTAATAATACTTACAATTAATAGAAATTTAAGTTAATAATAAAACAAAAACAGTTAGGTAAAATGATGAAAATAGTAAAACACATTTGACCGAGAAAAAACAAAGCAAAAAAACAATAATCATTTCTATTTCACATGTTTGCTATTTTATCTATATTTTAATGTTTTTCTTAGGTTTTGCTTATTGTTTGCTTTTTTTTTTTTTTTTTTTGTTAAAGGGCTTTCATTAATTAAAAATTTAAAAATACAGAGAATCCAAAAGAACCAGCACTAAAACTGAAATTAAAACAACCAAACATCAAAGAGAAAAGAGAAGGGAAGAAGGGAAGGTCCGGAAAGTTACACGTTGAAGAGACGGAAACTCATCCTAGAGACCAAATTCGAAGCAGTGACGCACCAAGGTGTGAACCCGAGTTATGCAAAGCCGTGGACTTATTTTTTACCACCGCAAGAATTCTGACAAGAAGGCGATGAGGAGGCTGAGTGACACCATCGTGAAAGCGTCGATTTCTTTCTTTCCATATCTCATAGATGCATGCCTGCCAACCCTGAAGCAGAGCTAGCGATATGTGTCGAGAAGAAGACGCATTAGGCAACCAAGAGAGAACTTGTTGCCAAGAAGAAGGAGCATTAAACAAATGTAACCTGAGAGTTACTCCATTCCAAATCTCTTGAGAGAAAATGCAATCAAAGAACAGGTGATTCCGAGATTCATCTCCTAATCCACAAAGAAGACAAGTACTTTCCACATCTAAACCCCAAGAGGCCAGACGTAAAAGGGTAGGGTTTCTATCAAGTGTGAAGAGCCAAGCAGTGGTGGAGTGCTTTGGAATTGCAGCCTTATGCCAAACCAGAGGAAACCATGACACAAGTGGTTTGACAAGTCTCATATTGTTCCAAATGTCTCTCGAAGAGAAAAGCCTGCACACACGATCTCCAACTTGCCAGAAGATTGGGACATCATTTGCAGCAGATAGCGAAATAGTTGTAATGTAAGCGAGCAGCTGAAGCTGAAGATCCGAGCGAGCGGGAGGAAGAGACCAACCTGTTGACGAGAGGGTATCCTTGACAAGCGAGAAGAGAGGAATGCCAAGATTTGAAGGGCCATCCGGGCCAAAGAAGTGAATTAGTGGACCAAACGGAGTCCAAGGATCCCACCAGAAGAAAGTTTCTTCTCCATTACTAATGGTAATTTTGAGAAAGGAAACAGCTTTATGAAGGAGTTTTAGAATCTTTCGAAACATCCAAGAATATGAGTAGTTTGTCTCATTTAGTGACCAGAAGGTGTATTGCTTGCTTTTTGGTGAATTAACTTTTAGAAAAAATTATTAATTATTTTAAAAAAATAGAATGATTTAAAAGTAACTCAAAGTTTAAAGCAAATTTTTTTTGTTAAAATAGAAAGATTAAATGTAACTAAAAGTTTTTATCATTTAATTCCGAGATGTCAAAATCAAATTTTGTAAATGAGTAAAACAGTTGTGTTTCCGGCGACGTGGTTAGCTTTGAGAAATCGGGTGCCATTTTGAACTCGGTGAACAACCTTCCGATGGATGTCAAGGCAAAAGCGTTCAGTTGTACTGCGACATCCTCAAGGTCTTTGTCTTCCGGGATTAAAGACTTGGAGAAACCACGGAATGGAATTGTCATGGAACTTATCATGGAACCCATGGGTACGTACAAAAGGGAAAATGAAACAGAGAAGAGAGTGATTAAAAAATGGTTTTTTGTTATAAACCACATGTTGGATGGACTCCATAACCGTGGGCCTTATGCATATTCTAGAAGGCCCGTGTCCATGTCCTAGAAGGCCCATGCCCATGTTCTAGAAGATTCTCCTTTTAGGATCCATTTTATACTTAGTGGGCTTTTGGGCTTTAGGGTTTACTAACCCAATGAGGATTTGTCTCCTCTCATTATGTATATATATGTAACGAACTTCATTCATTAATACATAGAAAAACAATAAGTTTACAACACGTTATCAGCACGAGTTGCTCTTAACAAAAACCCTAAAAACCCTAAACCTAAACTCGCCGAGTTCGCCCACCGCTTGAAGCTACCAACCGCCGACCGCTCGCTTTGCTCTTTGATCGGCGATCTCCTCCTAGCTTCATACGTTCGTGATAAGCTTGATAACCGAGGTCTTTAGCTCCCGGTTCCAATCCATACAACCCCAAAAAGGTGAAAGGTAAAAACCAAAAACCCTAAAAGCTAAAGAACCGATTATGAATTTGAACCTAACGATCGGTGGAAACCTAAAACGAACCTTGAATGTTTAAGTAATCTTATTGCTTGAAAGATCCGTTTGTTTGAATCGTTTAGGTTGCTAGAAAAGGATTGATTATTGCTTAAACTAAACTCGCCTAAGTTGCTAGACAAGTTCTATTGTATAAACGATTGCTTCTTACTTATGAAAACCGATCATGAACTTGAAATTAACAAACGGTTAAGACACTAAAAACGAATTTTGATTGTTTAAACGATTGCTATTGCTTGTGAGATCCGATTACTTGAATCGTTTAGGTTGCTAGAAAAGTTGGTTATTGCTTATGATAAAATCGCCTAAGTTGCTAGAGAAATTTTATTATCTAAACCTAAAATCGTAAAACGAAAATACATAAGGCTAATAACCGAAACTTTAAAGATCTAGAAACCTAAAACTAAAACGAACCTAATCCGAAAATTCTATATGTTTAAACGGCTTGATTGAGATTGTTTAGGTTGATTAGATTGTTTGCTCCTTTGATTGATTACATGCTTATCACCCTAAAACTAAAATTGCATGAACCCTA